AACACACAGACACACACACAGACAACCTCTCGTCAGTAGTTTTTGGCATTGCATTGCTGCAAAAAACGCATAAAAAGAGTTGTGTGCATATGTTCGGGCCGTCCGTGGTTGAGTTGTATTTTTTTTTCTCGACAAACATCCAGCGACCTTCAGGGTATTGCGGGAAATGACGCTGTACATATGCTCGGAAACAGGCTGCAACAACAACGATGGTACTGAGTTGAGATCGCTAAGGTACGTCCGCTCGTATGCTCAAAGCGAGCATTACACTGCTGCTGCTAGTCCACAAACAAGTCGTATATCTTTTAAATTTTTTTAGTAGTTTATCGAAGTTTTAGTGTCGTATTTTTGTAATTGCTGGTGTGGACTGTTTTCAAGTTGTTTTAAAATAGACTGGTTGTATTGCTGTTAGGCCTAGTATACACTCAACATTCACAGCAATTCTAGCGCATTTCGTCTCCTCTGTTCTCCAACGGGCCACTGATCATACAAGTTGTCGGAACGATGCTAGCGTTCCGAAAATAACGAGCGAGGAGGAGACAAATGAGCGCCGAAATTCTCGGCAACAACAGGGACAAGAAACGGAGCTTTGCTACAAAAAAAATTCCAAAGGAGCTGCGTGAATTTTAATCCATATAAGGTTTGGCCGAGGGCAACTGAGTGACAAAAGACCAGTGGTACTTTCAAGCTGTTGATTTTGCAGGTCGCTCTTCCAGGCGATGTTAATTGCCAAATCGCCTGCCGGTGATTTTATGACACGAACGACATTCACGCGGCTCCCTTGGAATTTTTTTTTGTAGCAAAGCTCCGCTTCTTGTTCCTGTTGTAAAAGTGTGGGAGCAAGGCTCCGCTTCTTGTTCCTTTTGTAAAAGTGTGGGAAACTGCGTCAAAAACAGCGCGGAAAAAGAATCAGAAGCGATACGAACAGGAAATGCGCAAAGCTGAGAACTGCACTGCAAAGGTCTGGGGAAAATCTTTCTTAACATTCCGTTCAACAGTTATCAAATTTTAACTGCCAGAAGTGAGATTTCCAATCCATGGGCTATTTTGGCGCTTCCGGGTAGGAGTAGCGCCGGTTCTTACGCCCTCGTACTTCCGGTGATCGCTTCTGACACAGTTTGGATCTTTAACTATTGCTGATATTAATATTAAATGCAAAAAAAAAACTCAGAAGTAAGAGTGTTAAAAGTAAAAAGTAAAAGAAGTCTAATATTAAAAGTTAAAAAGAAAAATGTAGAAGGTTTTTCCTTTTTATGCGTTTTTGCCTATATGCAAACTGCAAAAACGCATATTGAGACGACCCCGTCTGTGTGTGTATGTATGTGTGTATGTGTGTGTGTGTGTGTATGTTTGTGTGTGTGTGTGTTTGTCTGTCCGGGTATTTCAACTCGGCAACCAAGCAAGTTCCAGCGCCGAGATTTTGCTGATGGGTACTCCGGCCAAGTACCACTCCAGAACCGCGGTACCATCTCTCACGCACGTCTGGGCCCCGTGTACGAGAGGGGGAGAGTTTTGGCGGGAAAATCGATAACTCGGGAACGCGAAAAGATAGGAAGCTGAAATTTTGAAGTTATGTTCACCGTCCAAATATGACTCAAAGATTTCAAATTCAGCCTCCAGGTACGCGTGGTTCCCGCGCACGGCCCCGTAAGATTTTTCGGCTGGACAATGGCTAACTCGGGAAGTAGCAAGGCTGGAAAGCTGAAATTTTCAGGGAATGTTCCTAGCCCATGTACGACTTGAGTTCATCAAATTCATCCCCCAATGCGCGGTTCTCACGTACAATCCCGTGAGATTTTCCGGCGGGAAAATGGCTAACTCGGGAATTAGTAAAGATGGGAAGCTGGAATTTTCAGGGAATGTTCCCAGTCCCACTTACGAATTGAAGTTGTCAAATTCAGCCTCCAGGCGTGCGTGGTTCCCGCGTACGGCCCTGTGAGATTTTTCGGCGGAGAAATGGCTAACTCGGGAATTAGCAAAGCTGGGAAGCTGAAATTTTCAGGGGATGTTCCTAGCCCATATACGACTTAATTTCATCAGATTCATCCCTCAGGCTTGCGCGGTTCCCACGTGCAGCCCCGCGAAGTTTTTTGGCGGGAAAATTGCTAACTCGGGAATTAGTAAAGATGGGAAGCTGGAATTTTCAGGGAATACTCCCAATCCACTTACGACTTAAAGTTATCGAATTCAGCCCCCAGAAGTGCGTGGTTCTCGTGCACGGGCACTTAAATTTTTGGTGGGAAATTACTAGTAGAACGGCTGGGTCATCTTCAAAAAACGACCGCTAAATGGATATTGTCTATTTTTTTTAATGCAGAGTTTACGACGAGTTACAGTATTGAGAGCACAAGGTTGGTGTTGACAGCCACTCATGCAGTTAACCTAATTATTTCAAGTCTGGTGCAAAAACGCATGACCGCTCCGGCTCGCCTGGTGCGTTCCAGCCTGGGTTTACCCATATTTTTTGAATAAATTGCATCTCTTGTATTCTAATCATATTAACTTTGCCTTATCTGCAAAACAAAAACGAAAAAACAAAGCTCTTCATTGCTTTGTTTCGCCTCGTGGCTCAAATTATTTTAGGAATTGAGGAATTAAATGGGACACGTGATTGTGTTTAATTTTAAAAAGTGTTGAAAATTTTCTTGCTTATTTTAGCAAAAAGAAATGCTAGAAGCTTTGGAAGAATCTAAGAAAGTGCAGATTGAGTTAGATTCAATTTCACCATACCTGTACGGATGCAAAATTCACCATCTTATGGAGCATTGCGGCGAGCGTGTTCGAATCTGTGCATGGGTTCATTCAATTCGACCACAAGATATTCATTTTGGTAATTTTATTTGACTATAAGAATTATTTGAATTGCTAGTGTGGCCTTCATATCCAGGTTGCTTGCCGCAGGTTCTCACAATTAGCAAACTGGGTTCCTCGGTACTCTAAGAAGATCGGAATTTACGCTCTGTTGATTATTTTACGGATTATCAACGAAGCTTTTTTCGGAAATGGGCTAGAGAATCGAACCATTCCCTTTACATTCGGACGCGGCGTGCTACCCATTGCGCCAGTGGCCATTATGCTCTACATAATACTGGCAATCACATCTACTGTGTATCTGCATTTCAAGACAGAATCTTTCTTTCTTGGCTGCCTTGTGTAGACAGTATACATCTCTTCGCAGCGGCTTCTTTTTACCGGCTTTTCATGGTTTTTTACGCTAGATACATTGAAACACTTTGATTCCTCAATTTAAACTTCTTTCATATGATCTGTTTCTTTTCTTTCCTTTAATTTTTAAAATTTTTTACGATTTCACAACTTTCTTTCGTTCTCTTTTTTTCCTTTCACCTTAAGTTCCTCAAAACTTTATAATAGCGGTACTCCAACTCGTGCTGATCCTGGCCTGCGTTATAGGAAAGGCACTAACATTTCTGGTTCCTCGTAACGGAACTGGTTTTCTGTGAACAGTACTGACCGACAAACTGGTTTGTCATTTTGTATCCTTGTTTATAAGTTATCCATACGATAGGAGCGCTCCTGTGTTGTTAGTACCACTGACTCACTAAACTGTGAATGCGTTGCTGGGGTACTAAGATTAAAGAACAGCGTGTTATCTGTTGAACATCAATGGATTTAATCAATCATAGCATAATGTAGAGCGTTTCTGTTATTGCATAACAGCTTATGTTTAGCTAAATATCACTGTAAGCATTTGGAATAACCAGGAAATAAATGATCTGCAGTGAATAGTCCATTAATACAATTGTTAACAAATAGCAAAAATGTAGGGATTAAGTTCAGGAGTCAGGTATGAACCTAATTATCGAGGTTTTTTTGCTACATTTTTTTTTTTTGGATTTTCTAAGGCTGAATTTCCTTGCACAGCTGCAGTTCTTAAAGTAATTAAGTGTCAAACATCTGATGCGCTGACACTGACCACTGAAAGCACCGTGGAAATATATGGGTTGGTGAAAGCCGTACCGGAAGGCAAAGAAGGGTCCGATGGGCTTCAATTGATAGCCAATTTTCGGACAACTATAGGAACTGCACCTCCGGGAGGTACGCTGCTTCATTTTTTCCTATCTCATTTATAACTTACTGGGTCGTTCAATTTTTGGACCTTGGGTTGCGTTGATCACGTAGCAACCTCTTACTCTTGCACTTCAGATAGGGTGACTTATATCGTTATCAGTTTATTCTTAGAGTAATTTTCTTACGAGGAAAGCATTGGTGTTTTTGCTAGATGGTGATTGGTACTAGTTAGCATTCTGTTACTTGGATTTTTTTACTTGACTGCAGTATGGGGGTGAAGATTTTTATGTACCCTTACTGCGAAATTTTTGCAAAAGTCAGAAAGGGCAAAGCTGTATGTCGGTTAACGCTAATGTAGCCTATGAGACCGTTTTGTTTGAAATGTTTGCAAAATTGACTCTCCCTCCCCCTCCTTGCTTATAACTTGATAAGCAAATCATGTAGACAATATGAATGGGACTGATTGATCAGATAGGCAGCACCACGAAAATGTGTCGTATTACCGTTGTAAAGCTTTTTTACGATTTTGTCATCTGCTGACTGGGCTGATGGTAATTCATGTTGTCCAAATTTAATTGGGCAAAATGGAGTGCCGCATCTTCTCTGCTTGGAATTACTGTGATTTGTTTCTCACCGCACTTGAGCGTTGTCTAGTCATTTGTCATTGCATTTCAGGTTGTATTACGTTGGAGAATGTGAGAGGACGTTGAGAGGACTATTTCAAGGGATTTAGGAATATTTATATTTTAAGGTGTCGACAACGTGCTTAATGAAGAAGCAGCTGTAGATACGATGCTGGACAACAGACATTTAGTAATAAGAGGTGGAAACGCAGCTGCCACATTGCGTTTAAAAGTAGCTGCTACAGTTGCAATTCGGGAACACTTCCACGACGCAAGTTACACCGAAGTTCTGCCGTCGAAGTTAGTTCAGACTCAGGTTGGTTAATTTGGTGAACTCATAATGATGAATGTGTAATTGAGAGAGCGTACCAGGCAGATTTTCCTGTTTCTAGCTGATTTTTATGCGTTTTTGCCATGCAGCGTTAGAGCGTTGCAACAGGCAGCAGAAACGCATATTGCAACGACCCTGTCAGTGTGTGTGTGCGTGTGTATGTTTGTGTGCATGTGTGTGTGTTCGTCTGTCCGGGTATTTCAGGTATTTCAACTCGCTGACCACGCAAGCTTTGAAGTTGAAATTTTGCCAATGTGTTCCCCAGCCAGGTACCACCCCAGGACCGCGGCTCCAACCCTCATGCACGTCTAGGCCCCGCGTTCGAGCACGTGAAAGTTTTGGCGCCAAAATCGCTAACTTGAGGACGAGAAAAGCTAGAAAGCTGAAACCCTGGGGGAATGTTCCCTACCCATGTACGACAAAACGATTTCAAATTCGGTTGCCCAGGAGCGCCCGGGGCTTACGTACGGGCACGTGAAAATTATGGCGGGAAAATTCATAACTCGAGGATGAGAAATGCTAGAAAGTTGAAACTTTGGGGAATGTTCCATGCTCATGCACGACCAAAAGTTTTCGAACTCAGCTCCTTAGGACCGCCAGGGGCTCACGTACAGGTACGTGAAAATTTTGGCGCGAAAATTACTAACCCGAGAACGGGAAAAGCTAGAAAGCCGAAACTTTAAGGGAATGTTCCCTACTCATGTACGAGCAAAAGATTTTAAATTCAGCTCCTTAAAAC